TTCTGATTGTCGAATAATCATAAATTAAGCCTCGGTACATGATCAATAATGTGTGCATTGTCCGTTACTTCCAGGCATTTGATCTTATTGATCTTGAATAATTAATAAACCTCTGGTCTCCTTGTAAATATTTTGAGATTTTAAACCATACATAACTATCCTATAGATTATAACAGTGGTAGGTAGACATTTATAAGTATACGAGAAAATCAACAATAGTAAAACACTCAGTCAACCAGACGCAACGTCTAACTAGAGACGTATGTGAATTGGTTCATGTTGCCATACCGCATTAGAATAGTGAGATAGCACTGTCACCACAAATCCCACACTTTTAAGAACAAACTAACTAATCACTTATTTCTAAACTTTTTTGATCACACCCAAAACTTTTTCATCAATAAGGGTCAGAAATCACAGTAACCGTCCAATAATTATCAACCTAGAGTAATAGATGTAGTAACAGAATCAATAGTAATCGTAATAAACGACAATTTCTGTCACTTGCAGCTATATTCAATAGCCAATTAAATCACATTGTACTGAATTGTTGGTTATTGTTGATTTATTTACCTTTAGTGCTCACTTTTACCGATGTGTTTTCTTATACGCCCGTTCTTATTGACGTAAACTCGCTACATTACATTATACCGAACGAATATCACACTGACGTAAACTGAATTTTATCTTGAATAGATACTAAAAAAATAAATGGTGTACTGAACAAATACCATCATGAAGTCAAACATGATCCCACATTTAATTATCTTAAAGCAGGAACAAATATGGAAACAAGACCTACAAAACAGATAATGTCCTCATGTAATCTTGATCAGTATTTGTCGTCATCTTAATTGGTTCAAAATTTATAAGTTATACATATTCACCGTGACGACGCTTATCTCAGTTGTGAAATGTTAAAAATCATAGCCGCAACTTCAATTAGGTTGAACTATGTGTCACATCTGACAGATCTTGCACGGGACGGGATGGTGGGGAGTGGATTTCATAAATTTCTACCCTTTTTATTTCTTTAAAAATAACTCACATGATTGGTCCGATCCAAACCAATTATATAGTCACTGTTTCACTAATACCTACCTTTTTTTATTGTAATTTGGTTGGTTGATTTCCCTGTCAAATGCCTCATTTTCAGTGGATGGTTCTAATTGTAGGTTTATAAAGTCGTCTTAATCAACCCATCTATTTGGAAAAATCCTCGAAGTAACCAGCTCTAAATAATAATGAATTAAGACAAGTAGGGGTACTTAACTCCTATGTCAGTGGGCTAACTGTTCAGCAATGAAATGCTGATTATCAACGATGAATAAGGCTCTAGACAAGTTAATGCTGAACGGATGTCTAAACATTCAATAATTACTTCTGTATATAGCGTTAATTAAAGTCATTCGATGTGAAACGCCAACAAAATTGTAATTGTAAAATGTGTATACCAGTATATTACTATAATTAAGAATTTAGCGAATAAAGTGGATGGCGATATAATAATCGTCTTGTTTATTATCAAAGTAATAGTATATATGATGAAATTAATCATATAAACCCACGCAGTGATAGTGAATAGCAAGATAACGTGTTGTAATGGCACTTAAAACGAATTGGAGATAGACATTGTTTACCTATCCAAAGAGTTCATTTAATGCGTCACATTCCATAGTCATACTCTACTGTGTTTGGACAAGCAATTACTTCAAATACAATTTTTACATCATGAAAACTCCAACTTCTTATAATTTTTCTAATTAATAACAAAAAGGTTTTAAGGATTTACGGACTTATTCATGAGTATTATTAAACTCTGAATGAAATACTGATAAGCATTACTGGACTTAAATAAAAAAGAATGGAACACACGATCCTGGGAAATAAATACTTTAATAAGAGTTCCTCATTATCACCAATAATGTAGACACCGAACTAAGTTTTTCTAGTTATTTGTAGTTATTTTCAGATGATCTCGCTAAAAATAAATTCGAGTGACTTAAGTGTCAACTGAGTCACCAGACGAACAGATGAGATAAAAGTAGGCGACATCTAAAATTGCTCAATTCCAAACTGTTGTACAGATGAAATTTGTATAATGCCGAAATTGTATAGTTTCATATCTCGATTTTGAATACACTGTGCATGCGAGCAAACCGGACGGAATCGGAATAAACACAAGTTTATCGTGATCATAGTTACTGTTTTGCCTGAAAACAAATTAACCTGATCAAAAGTCAAAATAACCACTTTTTTAAATAGTTATAAGACATGTCTTTTACCTACATTATTCAAGCTAGGGACAAAAATAATTCTCGTGAGATCGACGGTCCTGGGTCCAAGTTCTACGTGCGTGACCGTGGGAGCCCACTGCTGAAGAGCCCCAAACTAGGACGTAACGGCTACCCAGTGCTTCCAGGTTTTGAACGATGGTCTAATATTGATGGGTTCATGATTTTAATGAGATAATAAAAAGAATGTCGATGTCTCAGTGAAGTTGTTCTTTCGGACAATAGCATTCTTTTAGACTGTTCAATCATAATTCCGCCATGTGTACTGTATAATGAAATATAATATTCACCCGTAAGGTGTTATTAACTTCATTACAAATTTAATATACAATTCTCATTTCGTTAGTGTCGAATGAATCATGTGACCTTGCAATGTAACGTGATCATGTAATGCGTGCATACAGTGAAAATATAAAAGCCACATCAAACAAAGAATGTATACCATTGTATTTGTCTGAGACGTAGAATAATTCATATTTACTGTCTGATTTGGGTCAACTGTTTAGCCCTAAATAGTCTCTCTTGGAAACTTCCTGATCACAAATAAAACGATACATTTTCCAAACGTCATTAATAGAGAAATTCATACCAATTATTAGATAGTTATAGATTTTTTCTATGCAATAGAAGGATAGCTATTTTTATCGAACGACCAGACTACTGTTAATAGGTTGAGTGAAAAAAATCAGACTGGATTATTAGATCACTTTGTTGAGGAGACCTTACAAAGGACCATGTTGCCTTCTCATTGAATCCTTGTTGATATCTACAATGAATATGGCTGTTAAGTGTGGTATCCACTTACAGTACACATGGGTGGGAATCATAAATGTAACACTCCACACACAGGTCACTCTCAGCCATTCTTATAGAACAGACGAGATGACTGAATGTGCTATATCTTGAACATCTAACCTATTCACCAGCACCGCTTTCGATGTTTTGGGGTTGGAATAAAAATAACACCTAGCGTAGATATCAAAATTGTCATTATCGTATTCTTCACTAAGTTCAAGGATCTCATTACTCAATTGCACATCCACGTTCGCTTCAGCACCGTCTTCACTTTCATAACTGGACATACTAGCGTCCAGATCTACATTTCGAAAGCATTATTCCTAGCGTTGATTTCTTGGTTTACAGAAACGGATGTTTCGCTAGGAGCGTTATACGAACAGTCAGCTGTATTAAATACGAAATGTAAATAAAATTCAATGGACCTGGACCAGCGGGTGCGATGATGGGACCGGACAAGATGTAATTTTTGACGATTTACTAACACTTATTTGTTTCATCACATCATTCCTAGTTGGCTGTCGTTGGACTACCATGTTTTGTATTTGTTGTAGTAATAAACCAGGATACCCAATGGACAAAAGCTATCGCCCTTCGCAAAAATTAATTCGGCTGATCAGTTCATTGGACTGAAAAACGTAGTTAGTATGACGTTGTAACTGTATTTCGCATCTAAAAGAGTAGTTGCATCCCATAACATGTATATCTACAGTGCACCTCCCCATATGACCTATGACTAAACATATTTTATGATCATCTTATTATCTAGCGAACTTCCGTACGCATTTCAGTAACTGATATGCTTTTGAACTAATATGGCTTATTATTTCTAATAATTGTGGACTGATGTAGGACACAACTTCTCTAGACACGCCTTCCCTTAATTCATGCGATCTAGCGTGCGACCAGTAGCACAACCCAACATGACATTTGCTAGTGAGGTTGTACATTTTCACTATGCTATGCGCTGACCCCATTAAGTTCGTCTTATTCTGTATTAATAGCATTCCTCGTAGTGTGAACACTCTGGTTCATTTTTCTTTTTTGTGAAGGCTATCCTGTATTTGAGAAACGTCGGACTGTCTTCTGGAATATCGCCTAAGTAAGAGCTGAATCGGCACAGATTTATGTATTGAAACAATTGTACACCATCCGTCCAAGGTTTTTTGTATGCATTATACAAAAAGGTTGGAATGTTTCAGATGAGATATTTTATGAGTAAGTTATTAGTTAAACGTAGTAAACGTACCCGCCGAAGAACATTATGTGTTCGACATAATATATGATGCACTTCCAGAAGGTTGGTAGATAGAATATTCTTTATGGTAGGACTTCCGTCACTAATGAGAGGTCGCAAAGATATCCCTGTCAAACACTGTACCAAAAGAAGACTAAATATGCTAATCACCTCGAAAGATTTTCTAGCCAGAAGCCCAAATGCTACTGGCATTATCTTCATGCAGGCATCTAATGTCACTATTTCGTATAGAGAAGTTTGCTCCTTGTTGTACCTGTATTTACTATCAATACCTACGATATCGAAAAATCGACGAGCTAAATTTTTTTAACCTACTGTTGAGATGTGGCATTCCTGGCAACCATCCACCTTACGAGCCACCTCTGAGCTCAATGACATGTATAGCTAACGTCTCAAAATCACCTACCTGGTAGAGATAATAAAAGTTACCATGACCTGTAAGTTTCGACCGTCCAAATACACGTCGTCACATGTTGAAAACATCTTAAGCGATCATTTCCTTCATGTAATTTGCACACACAAAATTGATGACAAAAGCCGCAGCTCCAGGCATTGATGCAGGACGAGTCACATTTTTCTACTCGGCTGTTAAACAGCAAACGCTAGGGTCTTTCTTACAAGTTATGAGCAGCAACTCATGACTGTGACAAACTGACGATCTTGATATTGTAGAGAAGCCTTCCATCAGCCGAACAAATATAGAGGATTCATGACAATACCTATGGATAGAGAAATTACTTCGAAACGAAACCCCGCGTCGCTTGAATTGTTGGTCGTTGAGTGCTACCTTTCCTTTTACATACATACTTTACGTAAAAATCATCTGGATTTCGATAAGTCACTTGTTATGAAATAAGGTTTCAGGAGTTCCGCTTCGAAAATCATACACCAGCGAACATCTCTCTGAAAATCGAATCAGCCTCACCAGGAGAAACATACAAGGCCGACAACAACGCTGACTAGAACTGCTATTGCCGAACTAAATCCACTACTTTCACAGGTCCACAAATGGGCATTTCATTGGCTGGTTAAAATGACGCTTTTGATTGCTGGAAAAGAGTACAGTGAATGGTGAGAGGTTTAAAGATAAATTTCATATCCACCTACATTTTAAACTTCAGTAATAAACAAGTACATAAGGGATTAACACGATACTTGGTCACAGAAATAGTGATGAAAAGGCTAAAATCACTAGTCACGTATACCATCAAACTTAAACTGTGGATTTTCCGTATCAACCTGACTAAACATGGATTGTAAATATCAACCTAAATTAGGTTTCCATTCTTTCAAAATGGAAAGTATGGGGTTTTCATATATGAGTTAAATTTTATTCGTAGTGCAAATTAGAATAATGCCTACAGGCGAGCAATATTGCATCTAATTAGGATTTCGTCAGGCTTCATTCTACTGAGCAGTAATCTTGTGTACATACTTAACATATTAAAATAAGACACTTCTGTAACTGCTTCATTAAAACTTTTTTCTTGACTAAAGTGTCAGCCACGAACACCATAATTATTTAGATTCCCTTCGTTAACAATACTCATCATGAAGTGTTTTAAAGATGAGTTCCTAGACACTCGACTTCCGTACAAAAGTTATCGACAACTGATAAGATTTAACCCTACTACTCAGGTCTTAATTTTATTAGTGAATAAATGACCTACAAAACTCCAGAATATAATCACACTTCTGCATCAAGTACTTTGTATACAAGAACGTTAATTTATCAAATAAAATGACTATTTTGTTAGTCTGTCGTCACTTCCTATTCCTTCAACAAGGGGTTTAGATCAATAAATGCGTACTGTGAGAAATGATTACTGAATAACATCGCACTAATCCATAACATTTAATTACCAGAGTCCTATCCATCATTTTAACAACCCCATTAGAATGTATATTATCAAGACGTACCCAAAATTATTCTCTGTAGAGGAGAGACGGGCATTAAAACCGATATTCAGAATGTCAGTTTGGTTTGGGTGAAGTGACAATGTACTCATCTGATATTGTTGTTTTCACAGTAAACTACTAATTATGTCACACAATCAGAAGACAGATTTCTGTCAGTCTTTCTCCGTTTGCCAACTCCAAGACCCATAAATGTCCCGGAACAAGAAGATCTCAAGTGCTATTAGATATAATAACGGTTGTCACTAATCGGTCCCACACACTGAAAAAGAATGTTTCTTTCTTAGGGGCACGGGAACCCAACTGGTTTACTAGTTGCCTTGGTGGCCTGAAAGCACGACTGAATAGCCTAAGTGACAACTACTTGAGACCAATAGAGAAAAGGCATTACTGAGAGGCAGGGATCTGTGAGGTAAGGTGAGATGTAGCATTCTCAAAGAACCTTTCCTAATCCTTTCTTTCTGTTGAGAAGATAGCATCGATCTAAATGCTGATTATCTAGGGAAAATACTTTGTACTGTCATCACAGTGTCGTACAACTGATATTACGACTTCGCCCTTGAACATCAATTTGCTTTTAGTTTTACCATCCCTTAAACAGTGACCTCTCTGATGTGATAGGACCTAGTGTTGTAGTAATTGAGACAAAATGTTTTGAAAACATTGAAAAACAAGACACGTGGCAAAAAGCGGTTTTAAGATACCATATATGTCATCATGTAGGTCAAAATTATCCCCGACGGTTAGACACTTAAAAGTAAATTGAAGCTAGGATTAATCGTTAACAACGGAAATACTATAAAACCCAAGATGTGAGAAGAAAGATTCTTGGAAGATAAGGTGAACCTGAATCTTACTACGAGATACGCTTCTCAGCTCATGAAAGATATAAGATTAGCGTTGATCTTACTGATAAAGGAGCATGACTGTACAGCCAAAATGGTGGCCATAAAGAAGTGGGTTACTGGCTAGACCTTCGACAACCAGTCAAAGTTCAAGTCCCGAAATTGTGTTGTAAGCCCTCATACACAAAGTGCAGCACAAAGCTGAATACGCGAACCTGAGTTGGATGAGTGAATCACAGCTGTTCAGGATCGGTAACAAGCGGAGTATACTACCGAATGGAATTTATTACCCGCTGGAATTAAAAATGGGAATATATAGATATATTTTTATTATGTAAATATGTACGGGTTTAAATTAAATAAATATGAAATATAAAGATCTTAAATGGTATAAATAATAAATAGAAAATAAAGGATACTGAGATTTATGGAGGATGTGTAGCTTGACAATTTAATGATCATCTGTTGATAGGGCCTGATTTTCCACACTTAATTCAAATGATTCATACTTCTGTAGTTCATTGTTAAATTCAGCTAGCCATGAATCATACGCTTTCTATTGCATGTAGGAAAAAACAACAAAGAAAACGAAAAATTAGGATCATGATAATAAAGCTTTTTACTACAATTGAGTAATCAAAGCTAATTGGCTGTTTCCAATTTTCGGTGCATAGGCCAGTCAGACATACTCAACATAGAGCCCGGCATAAATGTAAGTCAACCCAAGTCATCATAATTGTATTAGTAAGGACAGTGAGAAAGGCTAAACACTGAGATTATCCGGGAAGGAATGGAAAATTATACGTATAATGTATTTGCGCGCTAAGCTATTGGTACACAAATTTAACTTCAAAACAGTAGACGAGACCATTACTATCCTTTTATTCCTTGTCCTGTTAACTAGAGTAAAAGTTTTGTAGATGGTTACCGTACTAGAATTAAAATACATTTAATTTAGTCGGTTATAAGACGATAATAATTTATAAGTTGAGCATTTGTCACCATACACAAATCATAGTAATAATCTACTGAAAGTTGACCCTAGATTCACTTTAAACTCACCCTAAATCGATATTGACTTTTTCCCATAAGCTGTGCTTGGGGATTAAATATCCCTAACACTATGGAAGAAAACTGGATAAAGGGCGAATGCATCTGAAATACTGTGACCAAGTATAAGCCTTTCCACACATTATCTCTCGTCATTATGGTTATATTTATTTATTTAAACACATAAATATTGGTAAAAAGGGGCACCGAATACATATGCGCCACAAGTCACGTGATTTGTGTGGGCCGTGATACTGCTCGGATGACAAAGCCGAAGCAGATGGTTTTCCTAGCGGCCACACCCGAAGCCTTCGACCTAAAGGTATGATCCACAAGGCAGTAGAGCAACGTCAGGAGATGATGTCCCATAGTAGCCGGTGACCAATAATTGGTCCGTATGCCATTTGTTCCCTCAGGATCCAGGAGCCCATTTGCATCATTGGTTTAGAACCAAGGTTTTCCAACTCCCGTAGGTGGACCCTCCATATCCACCGACCCGGGTAAAGTGCCGGACATTCAGTTTTCGTAAGCAACAACCCCCAACGAGAAGGCAGTGAGTAGGACTTACCTGACAGTGGCTGTATACGCGTGGCCATGTGAGAGTGTAGTGAAAGAGAACACAGGTGAGGACAACCAAATGTATTTGAACACAAAATTACAGAATGTTTGACTAAAATTTGAGAACCAATGGCTTTCCGTTTCCGTTCTTTCCCTCTCGATCTTTCACTGAAATACATACTATGTCTGACCATCGTTATATATTACGTATGTGGATATAAGTAGCTCTCACCACAAGAGCATTTCGAGAGGGAGAGCTGACTCTCCTCACCCTCGGCCGTACCAGGGCATTTGGAGGCTTACCAGAGCGGACTCAAAGCAAGTGGTATGCACCTATCACGACTTTGTTCAGCACCGACTGACGCAATATCTTGGTTTGTTCGCTCCCAGTTTTCTTTCATTTTGAGTTAGATGAATATCTCGCCTACGTCGGAAATGACATAAGTTTAAAAAAGATTGACTGAGCTTTCTGAGTCCGTGTTAAGATTGCGTAACGTACCAATTTGTGACTTAATAACAATGAAGAAAGCCCTTACTACAGAGCTACCGCTCTACTGAATAGCTTAGATCTACGTGTTCATGCAATCAGTTTTATGACTAATCATACAGTAGTACAAAACAGAATAGCATAAAGAATCTACGAACCTGTCTTTCACTCTCAGACGCTTGTTTACGTCTCCGACTGCTGCTAGAAGTAGATTCTTTGCTCAAATCTGGAAGTGAAAAATTAAAAAACCAGCTAAAGTTAACTTCATATCATGTGGTTTATGCAATACCTAGAACACTCATTTGGAGCACCAAATAACCTAGGAATAATTAAGATTTTCGGAATAAGTACGTTGATTAACTTCATATAGTGGCAAAAGAGCTTAAATGATCGACTACAAAACTTATTTGAAATGTTCAATGCCGATTTTATCGATCCCACAATTTTCCAATGTATTAAAAATATCGAGAGGCATGACGGCGTTAAACAAATTCCACCTACTGTGATTCGACGATTGATCGGCAAACATAAATTAATAAGCACTTGGATTTATCACTGGCAGCTTCAAAACTATAACAACACACCTGAGTAAATCAATTGAATTTAAAAGTGACCAAATAAAAACTTGCGTAGAGACTGAACCGAAAATATTGCACAGCTTAGACTCTACAATTTGTAAGTATAAACCAAAGTGGTCTAATCATATACAGGTTCCAAGGCATTTAAAATAGTATAGTAAAAACCAATAACTACAACCTAACCTTGAGAGGAGCTTTTGTTATTTGTCGTACCGGAGTGTGGATTAGAAGAGGAAGATGAGTTATTTGGTAAATGGCTTTCCAAAACTTGACTGGAATCATCGTGACTATTTTCGTTTCTTTTAATTGAGGTATAATTTATCGGAGTTGGAATAAGTGGATGACATCCCATAGTCTGTAACTCGGTGTTAGCATTCGACATTGCTGGAGTTGAGGCAATTTGTGGATTTAAAGAAGTCAGTGTTGTTTTGGAATATCGTGGGATAGATTCTTCTAGATTATGTATAGAAATACATTTCCTACATTCAGGAGTGTTTGAGACGCTACTAGTAGCCTGACAGGAATCACAAACCTTTTCATGAAAATTGAGAGGAACCGTTTTACTTTCAGCATAAGGAGAAGCCTCTTTTGTGATTGAACAAGAGGTTGTCAAACTCCCTGGACTAATTAGCTGGTTGGATTCAGGGAAAATTGGAGCAGACATAGGATTCACTGACTTTGATACAAGTGGAACAGCTGTCACGATCGATTCAGGTATGTTTGCATGTAGAGCGCCTTCGTATCTAGCGTCATTAGATTTTCCTGAAGGGATATATTGTTTTGTGAATGGTGTTGATGCAGGCCACTGCTTTGACTTTGATTGCTTGGGGTTGGCCACCTTTACCTTAACATTTGAGCGCGTTTTTCTAGTGTGCTTTCTGGTTACATCTTTTGAACTGTCAGGAATAATGTTCTCTTTATTATCATCACTATCATTGTCTATAAAAAGATAGGGGTCTTCTGGAATAATCGGAGTTTGCTTTCCTTTATTAATCCGTCTACTTCTCGATACATCTTTACAGATCAATGGAGTTTTAGGAATTGTTGGACTAGGTTCACAGATGTTATGTTTGATCTTTCCAGAAACATTAACACTGGTAACATAAGGTTTCGATTTGACGTCGTTACCTTTCTGTACACATTTAAAAGTCTACAAAAAAGCAAAATTGTGAGCACTAGTTAACTCATTTTGCACAGATATTACGCGTAATTAAGATAACAGACAGGAAAATATCTAATGTCTGAAACCGCGAAACCATTGGATGGTCAGTGACCTAATATGCCAAAACTCCACACTGAAGGTTTGTCATATTGTTATATACTACTATCTCACTGAAAAATGGTCATGATTATGAGCAGTCTTTCAGTCTTGTCTTTTTTGTCAAAGACAATGGGTATGACAAGCAAGCAGACCCATGCCTAGGAAGTTTTCAGTCAGTAACATTGTATCATTTAGTACCAATCAACCAATATTGAACTCGATATTTTGGCAACCAACAAGTGATCATACCATATCAAAATTCGGTCTGTGACGAAATTTACCAATTATTCTACTCAGATATCAAAACCGAGTTCAGATTCAAACCTGTAATTTCACAGTTGAGTCCATTGCTTCAACTAAGAAAGCACTGACTGGGTATTGTTTCAAAAAACCTTAGGTATGAATACATATGATACACTTGTAACATCCTTGGGTATTTTGCTCTAGATAGGATTAAACAACAAAAGTAACATCCGTTTACCTTTCTATGGCAACTGTTGTAGTTAATTACAATGTGCTTCCTAAAATAATCTCTTTTCAGAAGTGTGAAAGGTTACAGTAAAAGCAAACGTTAATTATCCAATATTTAGGGAAAACCCTCAAATTTCCCTAAAGCTGGGAGATAAGATAGGCACACAGAAATAATCGCGTATTTATATGCACAATATACTATCCAATGCCCTACCTAATACCGGCTTATTGAGGCTATCAGATGGTAAAACTATTTACCTTATTTATGATAAAAACCAGATTAATTACCTTACTCGCTCTGCGAATGGACGATCGCAATCTCATAATGTATCAGAAAATAAAATCTAGCAGTCAAGTCACTCGTCATATTAGCGTGATGGATTTAAACAAATGAAGTAGTTGTGGTTAAAAGTCTCTATGCTAAAAAACTGTCTCGAAATGCTCATTTCGCATGGCGAATCAGTCTCACTTATTCAATAAAGAGTCAAGTTACACCTGGAAAAATCAGATTATACGATTTTTGAGACAAAATTTGTTGGAACGTTCCCATCACTTTTGATGCAACATATGCGGTAGAGACTTATACGTCATTGAAAAGTGAATTATAAGTACAATCCATGAGTCTCAGAAAGAGTAACAGAATAAGAACTCACCTGTGGATTAGGTACTGGTGGGGATGTCTACTGTGAGTCAAAGAGAAAGACTAGGACAAACCAGAATCTAAGGCGAACTGTTTACGGACGAATTTTTACTTACGAACCTCCTCTTGACGAAGAACTAGCTTCAGGAGTAATTTTACTGTATTTGCTACTCAGTGTAGACCTCAACAAAGACAACATACTTGTAGTGTCTGATTGATCCTGGATTTTGAACAGAACAGTGTAGTGGCATTGGACAGTAGCCACACAATCCACAAAGCTGTGAACACGAGACTACTCAGAAAATAGATATTCAATATTTAACACGGAGAAATACCTAACAATGGAGAAGGCGTGAACAAGGAATTGAATGGACTGGAGTTGATCGAATGGCATGGCTCGGCCATGCAGGCGTGGTCTCTGCTGAATGTTACCTTATATCTTTTATTCATATTAAATATATTGTTCTTCCTCTAGCCTAACCTTGTTCTACATCATGTATCGGTAATTGATATGATACAGTGAGTTGGTGTAGTCGATGGTGTGACTTCCACGTAAGATCTTATAGATTAGGCAGTTATATCATGACAAATCTACAAATTTAGGATTAGGTCTATTATTAGAGCAGTACTAATATCATAGTAGACCATAGTCCCACATTGGTGAGCCCAACTAAAGAAACGCAACCTATTATTGTTAATCCTTATTTCCACCTTAACCTTATCAATCGGTTTTTATTTGTGTAAACCCATTATTCTAATAGTCCTTTGATTAATGGTCACATATATTATCGTAATGTTATATCAATTAGTTCTCATAACTTACTAGCTCAATCAATAATAAAAGTTGATCGTCTATATCAACTAATTAGCTTTGATGGTTCGTTAACAAGCTATAATAGCATTTACATGCTTCAGCCACATAGTCTTGCTTAAACATCAAGCTCTAGCAAATATGACCTGTAAATAGCGTAAATATACATTGACTAACAATACAATCAAGGACTAAATACTTATCTGGATCTAATTATCAGTGTTCCTTCACTTAACACCTCATCCTGTTTTAAACTATGCACTATCCTGTAATATCTTTCTTCTGACCACTGCCTGCCTAATTTCATATTCTCGAGTTCCATTGCCAAACAACAAGGATGACAATTCTCCAAAAACATACGGTGAGTTTCAGGTATAGGTTTTCTGCAATCATAAGGTCATTTTAGATAACTCGTTCAATGGCGACCACACAAGTATCTGGATTCATTCAATTGTTCTGATCCGAGCGAGTGGCAAAAACGTCAACAGCATCAAGCACCCCGGAATTAATTGCCATACTGCATGTTTTATTCTGGATACTTTTGGATCATTACTACTCCACGAATGGCGTTATATATGTCGTCCACTGAATAATCTAATTTTCAAAAATAACCCAGGCGAGTTCAACTATTTTACTGGATGATTTTTTGTACTTAACATGTATATACTTTCCATTTGCTTTTGCCATATATTTGTAAGTGTCCCTAGGCTAAATGCAGTAACTTCTTATGGAATGTTTATAACGCGTCATATTCCTGCCTGAAGTTTCACAAGCAGTCTTAACTTCGAAATTATTTTCTGGTCATGTTCATTATTTTTAAATTGTCATATACGTCAACAACCTGCATGTTAACCTGGCCCGTACATACGTTACACTATATCTTCATGTCTTCTAAATTTAGAAATCATCTGAATCGCCTTTAACATTTATCAATAAACCCATCATAGTCGTTGTTGCTAATCGTATTTGGGTTTATGGATTGGTTTATCATATTAGCAGCCTAAAATGCGAACATAGTTTAGATAATAAGATTAAAAATTTAGGTACTATCAACTGCACTAGTAAAATAACTAAATCCTCAGGTAGCTGTTGGCTAAACAAACGTTTAAAATCAAAACTCCGTAGCCTACTAGAATTAACACTAAACGAATATTTCTGAATTGAAATTTATAATTAAATTAGGCGTCTCGGATTCTTTAACGTTATAAATTTCTGATAATTTCGAATCACCTAAAGCAACAATACCTATTTTTCCACTGACTAATCCTCAATCAACACTATAACTAGTTAAATTTAATAGTTTCAGGATATCGTCATAAAGCATTGTCATAACTTGACAATCACGTAATATGACTGATAAAATTAATGAAACTATTAACGAAATCGGTCAACAAATTGACTTATAATTACCATTAAATGGTGTTGTTTTCTTGGTATCTTCATCCATCACAGATGATTACAGTATGTTTCTCTATCAGTTGCTCATTCAGTAAATATCTCAAAACCTTGTCAGTCTAATTGATGGTTTAGCGACACAATCATGCATGCAAATAATCAGTATAAGCAGTCGAGCAAATCTCCTGCAAACTGAAAACATCAATGTCGAATTTACCCCAACACTGACTAAGGTTCAAGCCATTATCATAGACATGAGTTGGGAGTGTACTCCCCTGGTTACAACTTATGTTCTCTCTGATAATCACATGAGCATCACTCACTATTAATCATCTTGTAAAAACTTATTTAGCTAAATACATCTTGCAGCACCACATCACTTCGTAATATGACACAGGCCTAACTGATTTTAATAACTTATAACCACTATATCTCAAATCGTATTCCGCCTTATGATAAACTGCATACTTGCAACTAACTTGTATGCCCAATCAGCCAGCAAGTATAAATATAGATAAATAGTCTGCCGCAGATCAGAACATTGAGTCTGAAGCATGTCTCTTACGAATACACTCATGTTTAACGATTTGTTCTTAGCTATCTGTCCAAAACTCATAATTATCACTTACGTATTTAAATTTTGTTTTGATAACCATTCATGTGTATTAGTATTATTACTAAATTCTATCACGGTCAAGTAAAAATGAGGTTGAGAAAATCCCCCCGTAACTAAATAAACCGTATCAAACTAACTGGAACACTAGTTGGAATTCTCCACGGTAATATTTTTGTTCATTCAGTTAGCCTACTAATACAAATGCAATTGGAGATCAACTCATATGGACAACATACCGCCATAATTGTAGATTGATTTCATAATTTAAACCAAAACTAATACCGATATTAATATTTCTACAACATTCATTACTTTAATACTTCTAAACACAAAATACTTACTACCTATACGTTAAGTTGTTATGACTTTACGTTGTGAGACTGCAGGGTTTGATAAGCAGCGTATTTATTGATCGATCGCAGTACAGTGACACGGAAAACACGTATGGACGACCTAGTGTCTCTATTGGTCTCGCTTCCCTGTCTAGCCCAGTTAGTTGAGTCCAGAACACAAGTCACAACCTCTGAGATATGAATCACTATATTTCAAACATACTTTGTTTATATACTAGTCAAGCATACCACAGCGTACCATAAAAATAGAAACCAACATTTTGTACAATATTCAACAAGTGAACAGATATCGACCAATAGGAAATGTACATTTAAAGTCCAAGGACACCACTGGACTTAACATGATAATTATTGGTCTATTCTTCCGCATCCACAACACCTCCCCTTTTTTTTGAAGATCCGGAGTTGATATCCGGATTTTGAAATTTTCTGGGTTCATCCTCCCCCACGAAATAATGTTGGGTCCTCATATTCCCAAGTTAGAATTAATTTGACTTTATTTAACACATAATTGTCAGATTGAACAGGGGAGTCACTGAAAGTGATTAAATAGTGGGGAACAATGTCGCTTGATATGAGGTCACCAACGTTTGATTCTTCTGGAACATTGTCACGGGATTTGTTGAAAATCTCATTTGTAAACAGTTGATCACTGCGATAATCAACATCTATCAAAATTGTATTAGATTTCTGATCATCATTTAATGCATTTAACACATTTTCTGGTACAAAAAGATCTAGATAATAAGATTCGTCAGAATCTCCTGTTGTTGAATGATGAGGACCATTTGAAACAGCTGGATTCAGTGTACCGCACGATTTGTTCCCTGTTCCGTTGTGGGCGGGTACTGCAATTAATTTATGAGCATTTAATAAGAGATCCTCCTGTGAGCTGGGTACATCACTGTCTGTACACGTTTCAGGAACAGTGGGATTTGAACCCACGACAGGGAACGTTTCGGAATTTGACATTTCTGGACAACTGGGCGGACCATGAATAACTGTCTCGTTTACATCACTGGTCGTCCGGGATTCACAGAGGCTTTTATAAACAGCTTCATATGTTCTGCAGTTGTTTTCCAGCTCAGTCTGCAGATGAGAAATGAATTTACCAACTTCTGTTGCACCTCCGAAACATGGAACATTTACCAACAGTGTGCGTAAATTTTCTAAAAAATTTAACTGGCTATTTTTGAAGCACTGCTGTTGTTGCTCAAGTAGAAGCTGTAATCGATCGGAAAAGGTAGTCATTTTTTTTTCAGCACCTGCAATGAAAATTAACTGTAGGAATAATGACCAATGTTGCTCAAGGACGCTGGTGACAATCTGGATGCTGATTGGTCGAAACAATTAACCTGAATCTCGTCCAATTACAAGGTTCAAAATTTTTCTCCACCCCGTCGCCAATTGTTATGAATTTAAGTTGTGAGACTGCAGGGTTTGATAAGCAGCGTATTTATTGATCGATCGCAGTACAGTGACACGGAAAACACGTATGGACGACCTAGTGTCTCTATTGGTCTCGCTTCCCTGTCTAGCCCAGTTAGTTGAGTCCAGAACA